AAATCTTCGTGCATCACATGTCAAAGCTTTCTCAAAAAAACCCTATACCCAAACCCAAGCATAAAGTGAAGTCTATATTTCTCTCTCTGCCTTTTGTTGTTTGCAATAAGAAAGAAGCAGAATCTATGCTTTTGATCAAGTCCATGGCGGACAAGGAAAAAAGCACAAACGATTTGTCTATCCGCCCTTTGTCACACAAAATTGATGGGAACCCGACTTCCAATTGGGGTTTCTCAGCTCCGCGGAAGTAAACAGAGTACTGACTTTTGGATTTCGTTTTGAGCATATACACACACACTAGTGTAAACTTTAAGCAAATGTTCTGTTATCTACTGGAGTAGTTTCTCACGTCATTCAAAACTGGAAGACCGTATCTGTTTGGAGTTCTCCAAAAACGTAAAATCAGTCTACGTACATATATACGTCTCATACTGAACCAATTAAATTCAAAAATATTGTTCCTCTAAGACACTAATGCTCAACATTGTTTGATTATAACTGTAAATGGAGAGACAATTATGAAGTATGCTGCTGCTATTCATGAACTATTCATGGACATGGCGCACAAAATTAGTGAAGGGTTGGGTTTAAAGAATGTTTCTTTTGAGGGATGGCCACGCCAGTTTAGGTTTAACAAGTACAACTTCACGCCGGAAACTATAGGTTCCACTGGGGTACCTTCACACATAGACACATATTTTCTCACTATACTACAGGATGATGAAAATGTCAGTGGTCTTGAAGTCATGAATAAATCTGGCCAATTTGTAGTAGTTGAATCCTGGCCAAACTCCCTCGTTGTCAACGTGGGAGATGTAACCAAACTGCTGCCAATGATGATCAACTACAACCCACCACTCAAACAATAGATGATGAAGATCAACACAAGAATAAGAAACAGTGATGAATTTGGGAGAGGCTCGACTTTACTTCAGCGTCACCGCTTCTTGTTAATTGTACCTGCCCTCCAAGCATTTCTTTGCACTAGATCAAACTGAGTTAACAAATGCTTTTATTTTATTTTAACTAACTATTTCTCTAAGTGGAATAGAAGCAGGAGCAATCACCAAGGAAATGCGTCGTATTCTCCAATACAAGCAAAATTAAGCAAACTGAGACTCCCCTAGAAAATACGACATATTCTCCAATGCAAGCAAAATCAAGAAAATTGGGACTCCCCCAGGGAACCCTTTAAGGCTAAGGCCTTCGCCGTCAAAGTATAACAAAGTTTGACCTCGCTCGAACCGAGCTAAAGGCTAAGTGCCTTCGCCATCAAAGTGTAACAAAGTTCGACCTCGCTCGAACTGAGTTAAAGGCTAAGTGCCTTCGCCATCAAAGTTTGATAAGTTCGAACTCTTTCGAACTGGGACTCAGGCTATGTGCCTTCGCCATCAGAGTTTGATAAGTTCGACCTCGTTCGAATTGGGACTCAGGCTAAGTGTCTTCCCCATCAAAGCGTAACAAGTTTCGACCTCGTTCGAACTGGGACTAAGGCTAAGGCCTTCGCCATCAAAGATCGACAGGTTCGACCTCGTTTGAACCGAGATTAAGGCTAAGGCCTTCGCCATCAAATATCGACTGGTTCGACCTCGTCCGAACCGGGATTAAGGCTAAGGCCTTCACCATCAAAGATCGTCAGGTTCGACCTCGTTCGAACTGGGACTAAGGCTAAGGCCTTTGCCATCAAAGATCGACAGGTTCGACCTCGTTCGAACCGGGATTAAGGCTAAGGCCTTCGCCATCAGAGATCGACAGGTTCGACCTCGTTCGAACTGGACTAAGGCTAAGGCCTTCGCCATCAAAGATCGACAGGTTCGACCTTGTTCGAACCGGGATTAAGGCTAAGGCCTTCGCCATCAAAGATCGATAGGTTCGACCTCG